TAGTGTGTGTGAGAGTGTGTGCGTGTGTGTGTGTGTGTGTGTGAGTGAGCAGGAGTGAGTGTGTGATAGTGAGTGTGTGAAAGTGTGCAAGAGTTTGTGCATGTGTGTGTGTGTGAGTGAGCAGGAGTGAGAGTGTGATAGTGAGTGTGTGTGAGTGTGCAAGAGTGAGTGAGTGTGTGTGTGTGTGTGTGTGTGTTTGTGAGTGATTGAGCAAGAGTGAGTGTGTGAGAGTGAGTGAGCAAGCAAGAGTGAGTGTGTGTGTGTGTGTGAGAGCAGGAGTGAGTGTGTGATAGTGAGTGTGTGTGTGTATGTGTGTGTGTGTGATAGAGTAAGCTAGCGAGCAAGAGTGAGTGTGTGTGTGAGCAGGAGTGAGCGTGTGATAGTGAGTGTGTGTGAGTGAGCAGGAGTGAGTTTGTGATAGTGTGTGTGAGAGTGTGCAAGAGTGTGAGTGTGTGTGAGTGAGCAGGAGTGAGTTTGTGATAGTGAGTGTGTGAGAGTGTGCAAGAGTGAATGAGTGAGTGTGTTTGTGAGTGATCGAGCAAGAGTGAGTGAGTGTATGTGTGTGTGAGCATGAGTGAGTGTGTGATAAGTGTGTGAGAGTGTGCAAGAGTGAGTGTGAGTGTGTGAGAGTGTGCAAGAGTTTATGCATGTGAGTGTGTGTGAGTGAGCTGGAGTGAGTTTGTGATAGTGTGTGTGAGAGTGTGTGCGTGTGTGTGTGTGTGTGTGTGAGTGAGCAGGAGTGAGTGTGTGATAGTCAGTGTGTGAGAGTGTGCAAGAGTTTGTGCATGTGTGTGTGTGTGAGTGAGCAGGAGTGAGAGTGTGATAGTGAGTGTGTGTGAGTGTGCAAGAGAGTGTGAGTGTGTGTGTGTGTGTGTGTGTGTTTGTGAGCAGGAGTGAGTGTGTGATAGTGAGTGTGTGAAAGTGTGCAAGAGTTTGTGCATGTGTGTGTGTGTGAGTGAGCAGGAGTGAGAGTGTGATAGTGAGTGTGTGTGAGTGTGCAAGAGTGAGTGAGTGTGTGTGTGTGTGTGTGTGTTTGTGAGCAGGAGTGAGTGTGTGAGAGTGTGCAAGAGTTTGTGCATGTGTGTGTGTGAGTGAGTGAGTGAGCAGGAGTAAGTGTGTGATAGTGTGTGTGCTAGGGCTATCAAAATGGCTGAAAAACTAAATTCGAATTTTGCGTGTTTGTGAGTGATTGAGCAGGAGTGAGTGTGTGAGAGTGTGCAAGAGTTTGTGCAAGTGTGTGTGTGTGTGTGTGTGAGTGAGTGAGTGAGTGAGTGAGCAGGAGTAAGTGTGTGTGAGAGTGTGTGCTAGGGCTATCAAAATGGCTGAAAAACTAAATTCGAATTTTGCACTTAAATATTATCAAAATTGGAATTATATTCGAATTTAAAATGCATAATTTCAGTTAGGGTGAAGAAAAGTTTTTGGCTTCTCTCCTGAGGCCACAAGAGGGCGCATCATTCAAAGCATAAGATAACATGACTATCTGCGAAAAAAAGTGCATAATGTTTAAAATAATGCTTATAAACCAATTATAATTAAGTTAAACAACTATAAACAAAACAGCATCATGTATGTATGCATAGTTTAATACAAAGGGCGGAAAGCCAATCACACAGAGTACATTTTTTATTTAAAAACATGAGATGCAGTGGGATGGGGAAAAACCCCACCATAAAGTCTTGATATATATGTTTTTTTCAAAGTTAAACTTGCATTAATTTTTCATAAACATGTGGCTCTTTTGTGCGAGACGCGAGTGCAACGGTGATAGATGTCCCTCTAGAAAATGCGTGAAATATGTGTTC